AGGGGCCACAGGAGCCACAGGAGCCACAGGAGCCACAGGAGCCACAGGAGCCACAGGGGCCACAGGAGCCACAGGAGCCACAGGGGCCACAGGAGCCACAGGAGCCACAGGAGCCACAGGAGCCACAGGACTCACAGGGGCCACAGGGGCCACAGGAGCCACAGGCCCGGTCCTAATATCCTGATTCCTTGACTCTGGGCTTCTGTGGTGGGCTTTGTAAACAAATGGAGGTGGGTGTGTTTCCATGAGTGGGAACTTAAACAAGCAAGTGGGCCAGAGAACCCTTCAGAAGCCCCCATGTTGTTTTTAGTAAAAGCATACCATTTTGAGGAAAGTTGTGCAAGCTGAGCAGGGTGGCATGAGGTAGGGCAGGCCGTTGCTCCACCAATGAACATGGTCAAAGCCACAGTTTGTCTTCCTAGTGTCTAGAGATTCTATGCCCCATAGAATCTATTTAAAATATTGAGGCCAAGAAGGAGGGGGAGGGGAGGGGGGAGGGGAGAAGGAGGGGAGGGGAGGGGCAGAAACCTCAGTCTGGGAGCTGTAAGGGTCTTATTTGGAATTGGCAGAGCGTGGTATTTAAAGGTGGAAAGGAAAAGGCGGTGCCTGAGGAATCCCTCTTTTAGCAGAGTTTATGAGGCCCATATTCTCAAATACTTGACGTGTTCTAAAAATACCTTCGGAAGCTTCTTTAGGGAGAAACTAAACTTAGAAATTCCCTCTCTCCCCCTCTTCTTCCATAAATACACAAAAATTGCCCACTGTGTGCCAAATTCTGTTCCTAGCAAGGACATGGAGGGAGGGGATGAGAGCATAAAATCCTGTTTCCATGGAGCTGAGCTGGGGTTCAGGCTATAAACACAGGAAAAGCCAACTAATGCCCCTGGTGGACACCAGCAAAGGAAGTCACACTAAACCCCAGCAAGGGTGGGCACAGTGCGGGAAAGGGTGGGCACAGTGCGGGAAAGGGTGGTATTTTTGAGGAGGGAAGGTGGGAGTCCAAACTGGGACCTCTGTTCCAAGTTCAGGTGCAAAACCCAGCAACCATTCTGGAGGCTTGAGGGGAGCAGGACTTGGTGCAAGGAACTGTGTCCTGGGGAGCCTCCCCAGGGGATGACTCCTGAATGGGGAGCCTCCCCAGGGGATGACTCCTGAATGGCTCCTGCTGCCGTGGGGAAAGTGAGGGTCTGCCCCTGCAGGCTCAGGGATGTCCTGTGGGCTGGACCCAGAGGACTAGGAGGGACCCACTGCGGTTACCAAAGGTTCCTCTGGACTCCCACAAAGCTGAGTTCATCCACTGCTACCACAGTAAGTGCCCCAGGACAGCACAGAGTGGAGCCTCTGGACACTACTGCAGGAACCCCAACGCCACCGTGGCATGGTGACCTGCTCACAATGTCCGAGTAATAGCAAGCTGGCCACCTGACTCATCCAGCTCACCTCTGTCCCAGCTCCCAGGGAACTGTGGCGGTGGCCTTCACAGCACACCACCAGTCTGCTGGGACCAAGTGCCACAGTCTGAGAAATGTTTTGTCTCATAGCGGCAGAGCTAACGTCAAGGTCTCAGCAGGACGGGCTCTCGTGGAGGCTGTGCAGAAGAGCCTATTCTAGCACCTCCGGGATGCTGACATCGCTGGTGTACATGGCTGAGATCCACACAGTCCTGACCTTCGTTTTCACTTTCACAGATTCTCCCTGCACAAGGTATCCACCTGCCACCCCATGCCCACATTTGCTGAGATACCTGGCAATGAGGGCGGCCCTACTGACCTCACTCAGGTAAGGGCATCTGCAGGAACTGCTGGACTGGTGATTCTCCTCACTGTTGTGATAAAGTTCTTGACAAACGGAGCCTAGTGGGGGAAGGGTTTGTTTGGGGTCACAGTTTGAGGGGACAGTTCACTAGGGTGGGAGAGGCAGGGTGGAGGAAGGGCCGGGCAGGGCTGTGAGGTTGGGATCCCTTTCTGTCCAGTGGGCCAGGAAGCGGAGAGAGCAGGTGTCTGGGGCTCCGACTCAATCCGGGCCTCAGCCCTTAGTGTGGTGCCTCCATGCCGAGGGTGTATCTTCTCTCCTCGGTTACTCCCCTGGAAATGCCTTAACAGACACACACACACACACACACACACACACACACACACACACACACACACACACACACACACACACACATCTCGTGTAGCTCTTGGAGGAATCTCTTGTCCATTTATATTTCTATTCATTTTTAATTACGTGTCTCTGTGGAGGGGATGGTATGTGCACATGAATGCAGGTGCCCTCAGAGGACAGAGGTGATGGATTCCCTGGAGCTGGAGTCTCAGGCAGTGAGTCAGTTGTAAGCCACTGGGAACTGAAGTCAGGTCCTCGACAAGAGCAGTGCATGCTCCTGTCCTCTGAGCCACCTGTCTAGTCCCCCTCCGAAGGGATTCTGGAGTTTTCAGTGAAGACAAACCCCCATGCTGGCATTCTAAGGGACTTGTGCTTAGGATTTATCTCAGTGTAGGAAGCATGAGGGGACCATGATCCAGCCCATCCCAGCAGCCGCTGCAGAAAGAGTCACCTCACAGGAGTGTGCAATGGCTTGTGCTGAGACGGGCAAAGCCCCAGGGACCCGGTTCATAGCAGAAGGACTGAAGAGGAAGGCGTGGGAAGGCTAGGGCCACCTCAGGGTTTGGGGGACGTGGCCTTTTGAATTTTACTCTGTGAGTAATGCAAATGTTAAATCAGGAATGAGCTGCATTTTGGAGCATCACAGTGGCAGCCACATGGGTGGGGACTGCAGGGACCAGGCGGGAATCGGGAAGATGGTGGCTTAGGTCAGGAGGAGTAGTGGGCCCGAGGTTCAGAGTTGGGAAAGCTGCATAGACTCACAGTGGATCTGTCTCCATGGCCATCATGGTTACTGAACGGTGGCTGATGGGTTCTCGGGTGCCTGGGAGGGTTCTGTGGAGGATACACTGAGAAGGCATCTATAGCCCAGATAGGCAGTTCCTGTGCTGTTTCTGATATCCATGATTTCTAAATGCCAGATTGGGATACAGAACTGGGCAGGAAAAAGACCACTTAATAGTACTGGGGTGTTTTCCAGAGAACAGGCCATGCATACCATCATCACACAGAGGAAGCCAGGCCAGGGCCATGCATGCTGTCTGCCTAGGGGACTCGTATGTGTGTGTGAGCAGGGGAGTAGAGGGACTCACTGCAATGGGTCATAAAATGTGGTGGGTTGTTATGGCAAAGAGAGCAAGCATCTTCAGATGTCCAGGTTCCAATCCCTAGAAGCTCTGAAATGTTATTTGACACAGGGAAAGGACATTGCAGTTGTCTCTTTGTGAAGGGTCTTGAGGTGGGTGACAGACACTTCTGGCTTCCCTGGTGGGCCAGGTGCCATCACAAGGACATTACAGGAAGGAGGCAGGGCCTAAGCCAGGAAAGGCCAGGGACAGTTGGAGCTGAGTGAGGGTAGACAAGGCAGAAGCCAAGGAATGGGTGGCTTCTAGAACCTGGAAGAAGCAAAGGATGAACCTGTCCTACAGCTTCAAGAAGAAACTGCCTCCTTGGATGCCTTCAGCCTGGTCTGGGAGGCCTAAGGAGGGTCAGTCTCAGGAAAGATTCTAAGTTTGTGATGGTTTGCAGGAAGCGAATGAGCTGCATTCTGGAGCATTCCATCGAGAAAGGCAAATGGTAAGCCTGAGTCCTCACACTTGCAGACCACTAAAACAGTGCTCTCTCCAGGGGCCCACCTGTCTCTCACACAGGCCAGGTGTGGTGGCCAGTCCCGAGGGGGCGTGGAGAGGACCAGTGTTGGGGCTGGGGTCTCTGCCCAGCGTAACCTCCTCAAGCTTCCACCAGTGCCGAGCAGTGTCAGCCACACATAGCTGCTCGACTTGTGATTTTTCTCTAGATGAACTGCGTGTAACTGTGGAAGGAGGCAAGCGTTAGACTGGCCTCCTGTTAATCACACACAAGTCTGGCTTTCTGCGGCTGACGAGATCTGCAGCTGTCACTTCCTTAAAAGTTTACACTGAGTTGTGCTCACCAGGCAAGCGCACATGAGGCCTGTCTGTCTCCTGGCTCCTGCCTTCTGTAGAAGCCTGACCTGTATTCCACATTGGATGTTGAGCTAGACATGGAGTGAGAAGAGAGGTCAGAGAGGGTGAAGGCCACCGGAGGAGGGGACAGCAGTTTAGACACGACCTCTCTCTTGGATCCTCTATTTGGGACAGAATGACACCGATAGTTAGTTGAGCGTAACCTCCACAAAGTGTCTTAATTCATTTTCTGTTGCTGTCACACAATACTAGAGACTAGACAGTCTTTATAATGAATATAAATACGTTTCCTACAGAACTGGAGACTGAACACTGACATCTACCTGTGACGCCCACCCTACTGCCTTGTGACCTGTGATGGCACTGAAAAGCCAGACAGAGAAAATGAGCCAGCTTGCCCCTGTCCTCCCTTCATCAGAAGCTTTGAAGTATATTAATATTACTTTGAAAATTAAATTTTATTTATCATGTGCAGGTAGGTGCATGCATGCCACAGTGTGCACGGAGGCCAGAGGACACCTTTCAGGAACTGGCTCTAACTTTCTACTCTGTGCGTACCTGGGATCAAATGCAGGTTGTGAATCTCGGGGACAACCCCGTTACCTCCTGAGCCATCTCACTGGCCCAAACTTATTACTTTCTATTTTTAAAATATTTTTTTGGTGGTGTTGGGAATTGAAGGCAAGGCTTTGTGCCCCCAGGTGAGTTTTCAACCACAGAGTTACGTCCCTAGTCCTGGTTCTTTTATAGGGCCACCAAACCACCATCTCGGACTTCATCTCCACGGCCTCCTTTCATACTGTTTTTCTGACTGCCAAATACCATTGCCATGTGTCACCGAGGGTTAAGTTCCCAGCACAGGAACCGCTAGGGAACATGTTCCTAGCAGGGAACCGTGGGGCCTGCTATGCATGGCTGCAAAGGTGTAATGAAGTTCAGTTGATGAGTGGGCCTCTAGAATAGAGAAAAGGTGCTGTTCAAACATATAAGCAATTAAAACAACAACAACAACATGCTTCAAATAGTGTCAAGACCTTCAAATAGTGTGTGTGTGTGTGTGTATTTCAGATAACCAAGAAGGATCATTTTTTTTTCCCTGCATTTCAAGGTCCCTCTTCAGAGCTCACACCCTCCTAACTCTTGGTGATTTCATTCCATCTTGTTTTGAGCAATGTGCTCTGTAGTTGAGAAGGAAGGACTATTTTTGTTTCCAGACACAGAACTAGAGAGACAGAGGAGAGGAGAGAGAGGAGGGAGGGAAAAAGAGAGAGAAGAGAGACAGAATGGAGAGAGAGAGAGAGAGAGAGAGAGAGAGAGAGAGAGAGAGAGAGAGAGAGAGAGAGAACTGGTTCCTGGCTTTCCCCAGGTGGCCTCTCTCCCCACCCAGGCTCCCTTCCCTGGCTCTGAATAATGGGGCATTGTCTGTGGTCCACACACCAGGTAAGACCTTTCCCAGCCCAGGGCAGTGTGACACACAGGACTCTTGGGAAACAAGACCCACACCATTTCAGCAGGTCACTCAAGATGTTTTGAGAGCTTCTGGCTCATTTTGCATCACTGTAGTCCAAATCAAATGCTTTGGAACAAATATTTGGGTAGACTTGAATTTCTTCTGGAAAGCTTCAGGAATATGTTGTCTTAAAGAATCTGCTGTTGGGAGTGTCAAGGGTGGCATCGTGTTTTTGACTCTACTGGGCAAGGTGTAGTCGGCAGAATCTCATAGCAAAGGCAGCTTGCCTGCCACTACTTCACCGTGGTTGTTAGGTAACAGAAGGAGACAGAGTCATGGGGTTCCCCAATAAGACAGCGTGGACCACATGCCCATGACGTCTGGTCTTGGTGGCTGGCCCAGGACTTTGGGTTTTCTGTTCTCTGCTCTTCAGAACCTTTGATGGCTTCTGCTCCCTAGAGCTGTAACTGTAAATGAAAAGTAACGCTGTTTCTGATGTCCAAAGCCCACACAGGTCTAATCTTTGCTGTCCCCATTCTGGAAGCCTCTGTCTTGTCACTGCTCCTCTCTCAGTTGCCCGTTGGCGGTCTTCTCTGGCCATTGGCCAGGTGGCATGTGTTGGTCACCCACCTGATATCCCCACCTTCCTACTGCTGCAGGAACAAACCGCCACAGTTGTAGTGGCTCGAAATGGCATCTTTAATTATCTCTCACTTCTGGGAAGTGTGTTTGGGTCTCAGAAATCTAACATGGAGGCATCAGAAGGGCCGTGTGCCCTTGTGGAGGTTGTTCCTGAGGTGCTGTGGTCTGAGCGGGTCCCTCCAAAACAGAAATGTTGAAACTTGATGGGGCCTTTACAATGCGATCAGGCGATGAGGGATCCTCTCCCAGGGAACAGGCACAAGGCCTTTATTCAGTGCTCAGCACACTTGTCTCTCCACCTTCTGTGAAGGGGCTGTGTTCCTCCTGTCCTAGAGAACACAGCCCTGAGCCATTTTGTAAGCAACCAGTAGCCTACACCAGACAGTCAAATCTGCTAGAAGGCCTTTGACTTCTCTGGATCCAGAATTGTGACAAAACTCTTCTTTGTTTTCTAACAACCTACTCAGCCTCAGGTATGTAGCCAGAAGTTTCTCTGGTCCCACCCGGTGCCGTAGCCACTTATAAAATAATCACTCAGAAGCTTATATTAATTATGAACTGTGTGACCTATGGCTTCAGCTTCTTGCTAGCTAGCTCTTTCATCTTAAATTAACCCATTCCTACTAATCTATATGTTGCCCTGTGACCGTGGCATTACCAGTCTGCTGGCATCTTGTTGCTTGTTTGGTGGCAAGCTTGTGACTCTCCTGACTCCATCCTTCTTCTCTCTGCATCTCTGCTTGGATTTCCAGCCTGGCTGTAAGGTTTCTTGCCACAGGCCCAAACAGCTTTATTTATTATTCAATGGGAGCCACATATATTCATAGCATACAGAAAGATATCCCACAGCACAGGTATTTTGTTACACCAGCACAGACAGACTATACTCCAGGGTTACTGTGACTAAGTGCTGCCCATTGGTGGCTTTGAGCAAAAGGAATTTATTGTCTCACACTCTCACGGTTCTAGAGGATGGGTGGTGTGGGCAGGACCACATTTCCTCCAGCTGATCTAGGGAGGGTCCATGCTGTCCCTTGCAGTCTCTTGTGGCTCTGGGCATCCCCAGATTTGTGATGGCATCACTCTAGTTTCTGGTTGACCTTCATGTGACCTTGACTTCTGCATCTATGACTCTAAAAAACACATTGTCCCTGGATTTAGGGCCCATCTAGCTAATCCCGAATGATTGCACTTTGAGATCTCAAATGTAATTACATCTGTAAAGCCCCCCCCCCCCTTTTGTAGTAAATTCACACAGAGTGGAAGGGTTAGGATGCTGGTATTGACCCATCCCAGTTAGTTGCCTTGCTTAGGGCAGATCCTGATAAAAACTTCACTCAGGGCCTAGGTCTTAGCAAAGCACTAAGGAAGAACTTCAGGACAGAAGGCCAGTTACAGAAAGAGAACATAGAATTCACTGGACATAGAGTTTCTCTGGGTGGCCAAGGATGTCTATTTGTTGGACATAGAATTCCCTGGGTGGCCAGCCTTTCAGCTTCTCTGGGCCACACTGTCTTCTACCAAGGTCATGCTTGAGAACGAGGCAGTTAAATTTGAAAAGCTGCCAAAGTTGAAGCCCTCATAGTGTTTGAAGTAGGTTTCGTAATGAGTGCTAGGCTTCATTCATAGCTGTCCTGGGCCACATGTGGCCCATGGGTGGTGGTGGATTGGACATTTGTCCTAAGCCCTGGTGCAGAAGGTTAATGTGTGGTGCCTGAGGTTAGTTCATGTGGCATCCATCTAGAATGTGGCTTGTTCTGAGCTTCAGTGTAAATCGCTTCTTTCCAGGTGGTTCCTGGTGAAACCTCCTATATGTGCGTGGCTGGAGATTTGGGAATGAGAAAGAAAATCTGTAAGTTCCATGGTTGTGATTTCTGTTTTCATTCTGATAATGAGCTCCCAAAGATGCCGAGGCATATCTGTTTCTCAGCCCAAATCACGATCTGGAAAACAGGCTATCTTTAGAGTGAACACACATCAGGTCAGTGAACAAGTGCTGGCTGTCCACAATTCCCTCCTATCTGGAGGCCTGGAGTTTGATGGTGAGCACACACGTGACAGGCACACAGCAGCGGTCATGTATCCAGCGTGGACTCCTCTACCCCAGTGTTCTTTCTGGTGGCAACCAGAGACAGGGACTTCATCCCAGGACTGCAGGAAATGGAGCTGGCATGGCTCGGTGCATCTGCCATCACTGGCCAAGGCCCACATGTGGACTTCCACCACACAGGACCAGTCTATGGAGGCATTACCACAGCCTCCTAGGGTGCTGAGGGATGCCTAACCTATCGGTACCCCAACCCCAACATAATGAATCTCTGGCTGCTGGCCATTTCCCTCACATCCTCTGCTCCATCACCCTGCACCAAGACTGCAGCCATGTCCTCTTCTCAGCCTTGAACAGAAATCCATCCAATCATGTGTCTCATCTGCACAGGATGGTAGCCGCCGTATTTCTCAGCATTGACACTCAGATTTCTCCAGTGACCCCAGGCCCTCTTCCATCGGCACTCACCTCCTGCTTGCCTGTTTTCATTTCTTCTGCTTCCTCCAGGGCATGCCTGGACCGTGCTGGCTCTCATTCTCCCTAGGCCCTGTTACCTCCCTCGTCTGGGTTCACTTCCCACCTTCTTTCCGTCGAGGCAGCCCCCCTCCCATTCTACCGACTCCGCTCCACAGCTCTCATCACCCCAGACACCATTTTCCATCCACGTCCCCTCTCCCTGATAGAGTGGAGGCCCAGGGGAAGAGAGATGTTTGTTTTGCTGCACCTTCCCAGGTGCCCACCACAGTGCCCAGCTGGCATTGAGGCCACTCACCTGAATGCATGAATGAATGGAGAATGACTGAATGATGACTGAATGCATGAGTGCCCGTAAGAGCCTAGGGCAGCCTTTGCCAAGTGTCCTGTCTGCTCAGAAACTGCCTTGTCATTTTGTCTGCGGTGAGTCATCTGCTCAGGAGGCCTCATGATTCTTCTCTCCCCTCCACCCACAGGCTTTTAAAAAAATGATGGAAAGCTAGATGGCTCCGAATCGCTGTGGGATGTGTGCTTTTCGAGGCCTCTGTGAGGCAATGACCATGTAACTTTCCACACAACGGCTTAGGGGAACAGTACATTTCCATCAAGGGGGAAGAAGCCGGTGGCACTGTCGAAGGTGGCGTTTGATTGGGGAAACCCAGGGATGCTGGCACACAGAGCTGTCTTCAGGCTGTGTGCCAGGACCACAGCACCCAGCTGCCAGGTGCACAGGCTGTGGGTGGCACATCGCAAGCCCATCATGCAGTGCCCTGGGGACCCGTGCTTCCCCTGCCCCCTGC